AGCAGATCTTGATCCAGCTCGCTACTTTAACATAACCCGAAGCAGCTCTTTATCCAGCTCACTAATTTAACAGACACTGAACAAGCTATTTATCCAGCTAACTAACTGCTTTAACAGACCCTGAAGATGCTCTTTATCCAGCTCACTGCTTTAACAGATCCTAAAACAACTATTTATTCATCTAGCTCACTGCTTTAACAGATCCTGAAGCAGCTCTTTATCCAGCATGCTCACTGCTTTAACAGATCCTGAAGCAACTCTTTTTCCAGCTAGCTCACTACCTTAACAGACACTGAAGCAGCTCTTTATCCAGCTCAATAATTTAACAGACCCTGAAGCAGCTCTTTATCCATCCAGTTTACTGATTTAACAGACACTGAAGCAGCTCTTTATCCAGCTCAATAATTTAACAGACCCTGAAGCAGCTCTTAATCCAGCTCACTGCTTTAACAGACCCTGAAGCAACTATTTACCCAGCTAGCTCACTGCTTTAATAGATCCTGAAGCAGTTCTTAATCCAGCTCATCACTTTAACAGACCCTGAAGCAACTCTTTATCCAGCTCACTGCTTTAACAGACCCTGAAGCAACTATTTACCCAGCTAGCTCACTGCTTTAATAGATCCTGAAGCAGTTCTTAATCCAGCTCGCTGCTTTAACAGATCCTGAAACAGCTCTTTATCAAGCTCACCACTTTAAAAAGACGATGAAGCAGCTCTTTACCCAGCTCACTGCTTTAACAAACCCTGAAGCAGCTCTTTACCCAGCTAGCTCACTGCTTTAACAAACCCTGAAGCAGCTCTTTATCCAGCTCACTGCTTTAACAAACCCTGAAGCAGCTCTTTATCCAGCTCACTGCTTTAACAGACCCTGAAGCAGCTCTTTATTCAGCTCACTGCTTTAACAAGAAAACTAAATCTCAGGTAGGGGTATTTTCTTATTTAGTTTATTTAGTAAATATTTTCTGGCAGTGTTGTTGCTAGTTAAGTATCGAAATAGGCGCTTACTGAGCATAGGGGGGGAAGGCTCTAGTGGGTATTCAGAGGTCGATAGGCATAGATACCAGAATAAGCAGTATAAACACGTTTAAAGCCTGAGTAGCCCAAGTCTGTGGGCATTAGGTTTGAAGTCTAGATAGGGCATGTAGTGGTTAAGGCAGTAGGGTTTAGTAGGGGCTATGTGTTAGGGAGTAGGGTTAGGTAGGGGCATTTTGGTAATAGGTCAGTAGTTTTTAGATAGGGCATAGGGTTAATAGGGTCAGTAGGGTTAGTAGGGGCATATTATGGTTAGTAGGGTCAGTAGGGTTAGTGGTAGTGGGGTTAGGTAGGCAGATGGGTAGGTAGGGGCAGTAGTTGGAAGGGTCAGTAGGGTAGTAGCAATATGGTTAGATAGGGTCAGTAGGGTTAGTAGGGGCATTTAGGTTAGTAGGTCTTCAAGGGTCAGTAGGGCAGTTTGGTTAGAAGGGTCAGTAGTGTTAGATAGGGTCAGTAGGTTAGATAGGGTCAGTAGGGGTAGGAGGGGCAGTAGTAGGTTAGATAGGGTCGTAGGGTAGGAGGGCAGTATGGGTTTAGGTAGGGGCAGTATGGGTAGTGGGGCAGTATGGTTAGGTAGGCATAGGGTTGGGATAGGGCGGTAGGTGGGTTAGGTAGGGTCAGTAGGGTTTAGGTAGGGTCAGTAGGGGTAGGTAGGGGCAGTAGGGGTAGGTAGGGGCAAGTGAGGATTGGGTAGGTAGGGTCAGTAGGGTTAGGAGGGTCAGTAGGGGCATAGGGAGGTGGAATGAGCAAGTAGTAGGAGTAGGTGATAGGGCAGTAAGGGTAGGTGAGTGGGCATTTGATGTAGGTAGGGGAAAGTAGGGTAGTAGGGGCAGTTAGGGCAGTAGGGTTAGGTAGGGGCAGTAGGGTTAGGAGGCAGTAGGGGTTAGGTAGGGGCAGTATGGTGTAGGCAGTAGGGGGTAGGTAGGGGCAGTATAGGGGTAGGTAGGGGCAGTATGGGGGTAGGTAGGGGCAGTAGAGGCAGTGGGTAGGTAGGGGCAGTAGGGGGTAGGTAGGGTGCAGTAGTAGTAGGGGTAGGTAGGGGCAGTAGTAGGTGGGCTAGGTAGTAGGGGCAGTGGGAGGGTAGGTTAGGTGGCAGTATAGGGGTAGGTAGGGGCAGTAGTAGGGAGTAGGGTATGGGTAGGAGGCAGTAGGGGTAGGTAGGGGCAGTAGGGGTAGGTAGGGGCATAGGTAGGAGGGGTAGGTAGGGGCAGTAGGGGTAGGTAGGGCAGTATAGGAGTAGGTAGGGCTAGTAGGCAGTGAGGGTAGGTAGGGGCAGTAGGGGGTAGGTAGGGGCAGTAGATCAGGGGGTAGGTAAGGGCAATGGGGTAGATAGGGGCAGGTGAGGGGGTTAGGTAGGGGCAGTAGGGGGTAGGTATGGGCAGTATAGGGGTAGGTAGGGCAGTAGAGGCAGTGAGGGTAGGTAGGGCAGTAGGGGTAGGTAGGGGCAGTAGGGTATAGGGGTAGGTAGGTGGGCAGTATAGGAGTAGGTAGGGCATAGAGGCAGTGAGGGTAGGTAGGGGCAGTAGGGGGTAGGTAGGGGCAGTAGGGGGTAGGTAGGGCATGGGTGGGGTAGGTAGGGGCAGTAGGGGGTAGGTAGGGGCAATAGGGGAGGTGGGAATAGGAGGCGTGAGGGTAGGTAGGGCAGTAGGGGGTAGGTAGGGGCAGTATAGGGGTTTAGGTAGTGGGCAGTATAGGAGTAGGTAGGGCAAGTTAGTAGAGGCAGTGAGGGTAGGTAGGGGCAGTAGAGGGGTAGGTAGGGCAAGTAGAGGCAGTGAGGGTAGGTAGGGCAGTAGGGGGTAGGTAGGGGCAGTATAGGAGGTAGGAGGTAGGGCAGTAGGGTGTAGGCAGTAGTAGTAGGGGTAGGTAGGGGCAGTATAGGGTAGGTAGGGGCAGTAGAGGCAAAGGTGGAGGGTAGGTAGGGGGCAGTAGGGGGTAGGTAGGGGCAGTAGAGGCGTGAGGGTAGTAGGGGCAGTAGGGGGTAGGTGTAGGGCAGTATAGGAGTAGGTAGGGCAGTAGAGGCAGTGAGGGTAGGTAGGGGCAGTAAAGGGGTAGGTAGGCAGTAGAGGCAGTGAGGGTAGGTGGTCAGAGTAGGGGGGGCAGTAAGGCAGTGAGGGTAGGTAGGGGCAGTAGGGGGTAGGTAGGGCAGTATAGGGGTAGGTAGGGCAGTAGAGGCAGTGAGGGTAGGTAGGGGCAGTAGGGGGTAGGTAGGGCAGTAAGGCAGTGAGGGTAGGTAGGGGCAGTAGAGGCAGTGAGGGTAGGTAGGGGCAGTAGGGGTAGGTAGGGCAGTATAGGGGTAGGTAGGGCAGTAGAGGCAGTGAGGGTAGGTAGGGGCAGTAGGGGTAGGTAGGGGCAGTAGAAGGGCAGTAGGTAGAGGCATAGGCAGTGAGGTAGTAGGGGCAGTAGGGGAGGTAGGGCAGTAAGGAGTAGGTAGGGCATAGAGGCAGTGAGGGTAGGTAGGGCAGTAGGGGGTAGGTAGGGGGCAGTAGAGGGCATTGAGGTAGGTAGGGGCAGTAGAGGCAGTGAGGTGGGTAGGGGCAGTAGGGGTGGTAGGTAGGGCATAGGGGGTAGTAGGGGCATGAGGCAGTGAGGGTAGTGGGGCAGTAGGGTAGGTAGAGGGCAGTAGAGGTGGGTAGGGGCATAGGGGGTAGGGTAGGGCAGTAGGGGGTAGTAGGGGGCATTATGGGGGTAGGTAGGGCAGTAGGGGGTAGGTAGGGGCAGTAAGGGGTAGGTAGTGGCAGTATAGGGGTAGGTAGGGCAGTAGAGGCATAGGGTAGGTAGGGGCAGTAGAGGGTAGGTAGTGGCAGTGAGAGTGAGGTGAAGGTAGGGGCAGTAGGGGGTAGGTAGGGGCAGTATAGGAGTAGGTAGGGCAGTAGAGGCAGTGAGGGTAGGTAGGGGCAGTATAGGGTAGGTAGGGCAGTAGAGGCAGTGAGGGTAGGTAGGGGCAGTAGGGGGTAGGTAGGGGCAGTAGAGGCAGTGAGGGTAGGTAGGGGCAGTAGAGGCAGTGAGGGTAGGTAGGGGCAATAGAGGCAGTGAGGGTAGGTAGGGGCAGTAGGGGGGTAGGTAGGGGCAGTAGAGGCAGTGAGGGTAGGTAGGGGCAGTAGGGGGGTAGGTAGGGGCAGTATAGGAGTAGGTAGGGCAGTAGAGGCAGTGAGGGTAGGTAGGGGCAGTATAGGGGTAGGTAGGGGCAGTATAGGAGTAGGTAGGGCAGTAGAGGCAGTGAGGGTAGGTAGGGGCAGTATAGGGGTAGGTAGGGGCAGTAGAGGCAGTGAGGGTAGGTAGGGGCAGTAGGGGGTAGGTAGGGGCAGTAGAGGCAGTGAGGGTAGGTAGGGGCAGTAGAGGCAGTGAGGTTAGGTAGGGGCAATAAAGGCAGTGAGGGTAGGTAGGGGCAGTAGGGGGGTAGGTAGGGCAGTAGAGGCAGTGAGGGTAGGTAGGGGCAGTAGGGGGTAGGTAGGGGCAGTATAGGAGTAGGTAGGGCAGTAGAGGCAGTGAGGGTAGGTAGGGGCAGTATAGGGGTAGGTAGGGCAGTAGAGGCAGTGAGGGTAGGTAGGGGCAGTAGGGGGTAGGTAGGGGCAGTAGAGGCAGTGAGGGTAGGTAGGGGCAGTAGAGGCAGTGAGGGTAGGTAGGGGCAATAGAGGCAGTGAGGGTAGGTAGGGGCAGTAGGGGGTATGTAGGGGCAGTATAGGGGTAGGTAGGGCAGTAGAGGCAGTGATGGTAGGTAGGGGCAGTAGGGGGTAGGTAGGGGCAGTATAGGGGTAGGTAGGGCAGTAGAGGCAGTGAGGGTAGGTAGGGGCAGTAGAGGGTAAGGTAGGGGCAGTAGAGGCAGTGAGGGTAGGTAGGGGCAGTAGAGGCAGTGAGGGTAGGTAGGGGCAATAGAGGCAGTGAGGGTAGGTAGGGGCAGTAGGGGGTAGGTAGGGGCAGTAGGGAGTAGGTAGGGGCAGGAAAGTAGTTCTATATATATATATATACCCCAGAGGGACATGAAGATGGCGAAGAGGGTGGTAGCTCCGTTGTCAAACAGGTATGAGGCGCGAGTCAACGAACAGACGGAACTCAGCTTCCAGTAGTCGCACACTGTATCACACAGTGGACACATCGTGAAGTTCAGACTGTCATCACACATCTCCTGGCTGAAACACACAAAAACAACCCATAAACACAGCCTGAAGTAATGCTTGATCATGGTAACTGACGTAATGCTTGATCATGGGACAGTGCACTCCGAAAGTATTCAGACCCCTTGACTTTTTCCACATTTTGTTACATTACAGCCTTATTTTAAAATAGATTAAAAAAAAAAAAAAATCCTCATTGATCTACACAAAATACCTGATAATGACAAAGCGAAAACAGATTTAGAGAAATGTTTCCAAATGTATTAAAAATAAAACATAGAAATACCTTATTTACATAAGTATTCAGACCCTTTGCTATGGGACTCGAAATTGAGCTCAGGTGCATCCTGTTTCCATTGATCATCCTTGAGATGTTTCTACAACTTGATTGGAGTCCACCTGTGGTAAATTCAATTGATTGGACATGATTTGGAAAGGCACACACCTGTCTATATAAGGTCCCACAGTTGACAGTGCATGTCAGATCAAAAACCAAGCCATGAGGTCGAAGGAATTGTCCGTAGAGCTCCGAGACAGGATTGTGTCGAGGCACAGATCTGGGGAAGGGTACCAACAAATGTCTGCAGCATTGAAGGTCCCCAAGAACACAGTGGCCTCCATCGTTCTGAAATGGAAGAAGTGTTGAACCACCAAGACTCTTCCTAGAGCTGGCCGCCCGGCCAAACTGAGCAATCGGGGGAGAAGGGCCTTGGTCAGGGAGGTGACCAAGAACCCAATGGTCACTCTGACAGAGCTCCAGAGTTACTCTGTGGAGATGTGAGAACCTTCCAGAAGGACAACCATCTCTGCAGCACTCCACCAATCAGGCCTTTATGGTAGAGTGGCCAGACGGAAGCCACTCCTCAGTAAAAGGCACATGACAGCCCGCTTGGAGTTTGCCAAAAGAAACCTAAAGACTCTCAGACTATGAGAAACAAGATTCTCTGGTCTGATTAAACCAAGATTGAACTCTTTGGCCTGCATGCCAAGCATCATGTCTGGAGGAAACTTGTTACCATCCCTACGGTGAAGCATGGTGGTGGCAGCATCATGCTGTGGGGATGTTTTTCAGCAGAGGGACTGGGAGACTAGCCGTTTTACAGCCCTCTAACCAATTGTACTATTATGTGTGTATTTTTCCTGTAGCGTCATACCCAAGAAGACTAGAAGCTGTAATCACTGCCAAAGGTGCTTCAACAAAGTACTGAGTAAATGGTCTGAATACTTATGTAAATGCAATATTTCCGTTTTTTATTTTTAATACATTTGCAGACATTTCTAAAAACCTGTTTTTGCTTTGTCGTTATGGGGTATTGTGTGTAGATTGATGAGGAAAAACAACAAAAATGTAATCCATTTTAGAATAAGGATGTAACGTAACAACATTTGGAAAAAGTCAAGGGGTGTGAATACTTTCTGAATGCACTGTAAGTGAGGTAATGCTTGATCATGGTAACTGACATAATGCTTGATCATGGTAACTGATGTAATGATCATGGTAACTGACATAATGCTTGATCATGGTAACTGACATAATGCTTGATCATGGTAACTGACATAATGCTTGAACATGGTAACTGACATAATGCTTGATCATGGTAACTGACATAATGCTTGATCATGGTAACTGACATAATGCTTGATCATGGTAACTGAAATAATGATTATGTAACTGACATTTACATTATACATTTTAGTCATTTAGCAGACGCTCTTATCCAGAGCGACTTACAGTTAGTGAGTGCATACATTTAATTTTTTTCATACTGACATAGTGCTTGATCACGGTAACTGACGTAATGCTTGATCACGGTAACTGACGTAATGCTTGATCATGGTATTAATTAATCCAAGATGTCGTAGTAGTGTGGTTGTGTTTGTGTTGTGTCCTCGTGTAAATAGCCTGTTTTTTTTTTTTTTTTTTTTTTTTTTGTTATATATTTCTCTCACTTTCCATCACTTAATAAAATATACTTTCCTGCAACCCACCTCACCCAATGTGGAACGGATTCTATTATTTCTTTATTTTTATCAAGAACCTACGGCTGAAACTAGCCAGCTAACTAGCTACTTGCTATTAGCCACCGTTAGCGGTCTTCACCACTGTCCGTGGCCTGCACTACCTACCAGCCAGCTCTAGCCTGAACAATTATAGGCCAGTCTGCATAGCGTGCTATCGACCCAGAGCATATCGGATTTTCTGCCGGAATCACTGAATCACTGGACCTTAACACCGGACCATCGCAACTAGCTAGCTGCAACCGATTGGCTGTTGTTGGCTAATCACCATTGTCCCGACGTACCAGTTAGCCTTGAGCTAGCCTCGAATCAGGCCCATCTCCCGGCTATCTACATCTCTGTCAACCAGACGGGACCTCCTAGTGTTGACACAAACCCCGCATCCATCACGACTGGTCTGCCGACGTAATCGTCTGATGTGGTTTCAACAGAAATGTCCATCCCCAACTATAACATTTTCCGTCTAGATGGAACTGCCAAAGGGGGCGGAGTTGCAATCTACTGTAGAGATAGCCTGCAGAGCTCTATCATACTATCCAGGTCTGTGCCCAAACAGTTTGAGCTTCTACTTCTAAAAATCCACCTTTCCAGAAATAAGTCTCTCACTGTTGCCGCTTGCTACAGACCCCCCTCAGCCCCCAGTTGTGCCCTGGACACCATATGTGAATTGATTGCCCCCCATTTATCCTCAGAGTTCGTACTGCTTGGTGACCTAAATTGGGATATGCTTAACACCCCGGCCTTCCTACAATCCAAACTAGATGCCCTCAATCTCACACAAATGATCAAGGAACCTACCAGGTACAACCCTAAATCCGTAAACATGGGTACCCTCATAGACATCATCCTGACTAATTTACCCTCTAAATACACCTCCGCTGTCTTCAACCAGGATCTCAGCGATCACTGCCTGCGTCCGTAATGGGTCCGCAGGTCAAACAACCACCCCCTCATCACTGTCAAACGCTCCCTAAAAAACTTCAGCGAGCAGGCCTTTCTAATTGACCTGGCCCGGGTATCCTGGATGGATATTGACCTCATTCCATCAGTAGAGGATGCCTGGATGTTCTTCAAAAGTGCTTTCCTCTCCGTCTTAAATAAGCATGCCCCATTCAAAAAATTAAGAACTAAGAACAGATATAGCCCCTGGTTAACCCCAGACTTGACTGCCCTTGACCAGCACAAAAACATCCTGTGGCGTACTGCATTAGCATCGAACAGCCCCAGCGATATGCAACTTTTCAGGGAAGTCAGGAACCAATATACACAATCAGTTAGGAAAGCAAAGGCTAGCTTTTTCAAATAGAAATTTGC